TATCTCGCATAAGTCATATGTAAAGAGGTAAAGATGCCAGCAATACTCTTTGAAACATACTGATTCAAACTGAGTCTGGGACTGGATAATTTAGTTAGTGCTTCAGATAGCTACAGAAATGAATTTGGTGAATTAAAAATATTGTGCTTTGAAGAAATGGCAACACTCACCCATACTGGAATTAAACATGAACCTTTTTCTAAAGACCTGGCTGCTTTGGAATAACTGCATCAACCCTGATTAGCAGAGCGTTCTCAAATATGCCTTGGGGAAAGCTGCCTATTGACAAAAGTACTAGTGCATTAAGTAGTAACAATATTTTCATGGCAATAAATTAGCAAAGCTACAGGCAATGTTCAGGAAGTGAAAAGGTATTTTATATTAGGAAGCACTGAATTTGCCTTTAACTTCATACCTCTGTTTTCTTTTAAAGAAAATACAGCACCTCATATATTGGACAGTTGTTTCAAAGTCACAATTTATTAAACTCAGAAAAAAAACAAACAAACTGGAAAAGGTCTTCTCCCAAAAGAGCATTAAGGCAAGATATTGCAGAATATGAATAATACAGCACTCTGCTGTATTTGCATTTGAATAATTCCTGAATATTTTAATGTGTATTCACTCTCCTCTGGAAATGTTGAATGCGAATTTTCCTGGGTTTCATTATGTCTCAGTTTTGAGAGGAAGGAAAATCCCATTAGGGTGTATTAAAGGTGGAGTCCTAAGAGAGGATAGCATCCACTTTTAGTATTTTCTCTCTTTTTCTAGGGTTGTGTTCACTTCCCCTGTGTGTCTTCTCAGGTCTGGTCATGGTGGGTGCTGGAAGGGTGAAGTGGAGCGTGGGGTCCTGAGCTCAATGGAAGCTGGGCTGAGCTGCCTTCCCCTGCGCTCAGCATCAACTGCACGTGAAGGGGATGCTTTAGCCAGCCTTCAAATGGCATTACGTTTGAAGGAGAAACTAAACTTACAGCTCCCTGGCAAAAGAAAGATGCCTGGCCTCTTGTAGTTCCCACAAGGCTTTTTCTTCCCCCCAGGGACATGATTCAGTCAGAGCTCAGTGGTGCGAAGCTGAACTGAATTTTCTCAGGATAATTCTGAACTCTGCATGTGTGTGTGTGTGTGCAGGGCCATTCGCCAGTGCCTTAAAATTAAATTTAAACTTCCCTATATTTAAGTAAGAAAAGTGATCAAGGAATAAATAGTAGCTTGGATATATGACAATTAGCTATGCCTGTTATTTTTGCCTGTTAGACATACCCTGTGTGCATATGTCATTTATGAAAAGTCCTTATCCACTACAGTACATGTATGTATGATCTGAAACATACTGACAGGTATCATTGAACTTCCAAAAAATGCGGTAGAGGGGTTTGAGGTGAAAGAAGTATTGTTGTTCCCAGTTAGGAGGGAATTTAGTACAGGATGTCACTTTCTGGCTTGAGATTCTTCCAAAGCAGGGGAGGACGGAGTATGTTCAGGCTGGATCAGTAGGTGTAACTTTTACGTTTCTTCCTTTGTCAGTTTGAATGAGCCCCTTTGCTTTGTGTTTGACAAAGCTATCTGGTTCAATCTCTTTGTCTAGGCTAACATGACATCTCATATTGATGTACTTATCTTGACAAACGCGGTGGCTTGTACACGCTGCAGGAATTGTCATTTATTAAACGTACATGGCAGAGCTATGTTTAGCACCACAGCGTTATTTTAGGAATGGCTGTGCATCAGGAAGCAGAGAATTGCCTGAACCTTCCCCGACACTGCCAGTCTGCAGCCAGGCTGGCCCAAAACTGTCTGCACTGAGTCATCGAGGCTGCTAGCTTTGCTACTTGCAGAGTCTCTTAATATTTTGCAAAACAAAAGAGAAGTGGTTTGTCAAATGAAACACAACTGCAGCTGCCTTCAAATAATGCCTCGTCCCTGTTCTCACGAGCTCAGCAGTATGTGAATTGCAGTGATACATGCCTCTCGCTGAAGTCTTGCTCCTCCAGTTGGTCTCATTCCCAGTGAAGTCAGTGAGGATTTTGCCAGGGATTTCATTTGATGCTGGGTTTGGCTTGAAGTGTTCAAATTTAAATCAGCTAACAAGCACACCCTTACCAACTGTAATTGTTGTGATGGGTGAGAACAGTACGATGTGAGATGAGAATGATAAATATAGCAGTAGCACGCAAAAAGAAACCAGAACTTTTTCAGGGCTTTAAATATCACCATTAGCAGCTTGAACAGCAGCAAGGCAGACTTCCGAGTGTAGATCTCACAGGTTCACACTAGAATAAATGTTTGGTAAATATTCTCTGAAATCTATGCTCATCTATATTGGCTGCAATCAAGTAAACAGTTGTTTACAGTTGTCCTGTCAGCAACTATAAATCAGAAAGAAATGGCGTGTATCAAATAAAACTCACAACTGGGTACAAACATATGTCTTCCATGAGTTCTTTTTTCTCCAAGAATTGCGTTGGTCTTGGGCATCCACACTCTGGAAGTAGGGGTGTGGTATTTTCACTCTGCATTTGACATCTGTGGGAACATGATGGGGAAATTAGGCCCAGTTCTGATGTCTGTGCCTCAAAAACCACACAGTAATTTTTGTGTCATTCAGGAAAGAGTTAAAAAGCCAAAAATAAAAGCCTTTTATTTCCATCCAGGATGAAGAAAAGCTTGAGTAGTTTTTATTCCAGGGTTAGCTAAGTGGCCAACTGACCATGCACTCAATAAGTCAATGTTCCATAGAGAAAACAAACAAATAATTAAATAAAGCTAAGAGTGGATGCAGATTTGGCATCAGTGCCTGTGTATCTTGGGTAGAGATTTTTGCGAGGAGTGACTCTTCTGTACTAGGAAGCTCCCGTCCTTTGGGCTCCGCACCTCCCAGTCCAGTTTCCCCAGAAGCCCTCTGCTCATCACAGAGCTACCCACTGTCCAACTTCTAAATCATCCTAAATCTGCCTAAAGACACTCTACCTTCTTCCTTAAGAGCGATGTGTTTCCCACCCAAGAATGTACGTCTTTTTCCTGGATCTCTCTAACCATTTTCACCCCAGTCTAGATTCACTCAACAAAGCTGAGGAGTGTTACCGCTGATCTATTTGGGTGGAGAGAGAGAACTGAGGCAGCAATCCCTTTTTGTACAGCTTGAGACAATGCTCCATCTTCTCATTTGATTCGTCCCCTTCCAATCCCATGCTGAGCGCTGTGTTAGTTATCCATCCCATCCCAAGCTCTGCATGAGTTTTATTCCACCTCCCTTTCCCACTGTCCCAGAGTGCTGGGCTGTAATTTGGATCATTCCCTTGCCTCCTCCATGCTCTGCTGAGAAGAAAGGCTTTCTCCCACTTGGGAGAGTTCCCAGAGATCTGGGAAAAGGAGTAGGTGTTACAGCTTTAGAAAATAGGTGAGACCAAATTGGTCTTTATGAAGCAAGATGGAATGTATCACTTAAAAAAAAAAAAAAAAAAAAAGCTGTAGTTTCACCAAAAGTTATGAGTTCACTGCAAAAATGTTGAAAACAATTGTTGGCATAGTTTTTGGGTGCTTATCATGTGATCTCAGTAATCTCTCTGAACTGTAGCATTTCTTAATTCTAGTCCGATTGTGTGGTGTTTGCCAAAATGCTTTTCTTGCAATTTTGTTTAAACCTGTTCTACTAAAAACTGATTGTGTTGTATTATATAGAGAACTGTATACAGACACACCTCTGATCTTTTGTATACCTCGTAGTAAAGGTCTCCCCTAAATATTCAACTGTTAGTTTAGTGAGGGTTTTTCCATAGCTAGGGAATAGCTAGGTACCAGAATAGTCATCAAGAATCTAATTTGCCCTTGTGAAGACCTGTTACATCTTCATGTGCTGGTTCCTGGGCTATAACATTTAACCTAAGATAAGAGTGAGTGACTATTTCTGGCTCTGAGACTACATTCACTCTCATTTTAGACCAAACTTCACAAACAATTCTCATTTTAAAATGCCATTCTGTCAAAATTAATGGGTTAACAAAGAGAACTATGGAAATTACTAAGCAAGAAGGTCCGTTCATTTTTATCCTATATAGGTGTTAACATTCAAATAAAGGGGAAAAGCAGAAGCAAAGCAAATGTGACTGAAATTATACCAAGAAAGATGAAAAAAAAAGTCACATTCATCTCACCTGCTTTGTTATTTTTATGTGAAAGAAGTTACTAGGCTTTTGCTATGATAACTTCTAAACAAGACTTTGCCAAGAGAATACTTCAGAGGAAAGATTTTCACATACACTTGATATTTACACAGTGGTAAAAATAATGCTTTATAACTTTTAGAATAGAAGGAGCAAGAGAAAGTTTGACAAGCTACCACTAGTTGTTCTCTTTCCGGGTCTAAAAATTGCATACAGGAAGGACATAGTTTGTGCAGCCAGTGACTAGAAGGAACAAAATGTGTGTCACTTTGACAATAAAGTCAAAACCAAACAAAAATAAACATGAAGAACAATGCATATGAAGTTAATCATACTGTGCCTCTTTAAGAAGTAACATCAGTAACCCTATCAAAGGTTAAGGCAAAATTCTCCTAAAAAGTAGACTTCGTTCCCCATGTTTGTGGTCACAACAACTCAGCATTTGAAGTGATGTTGGAAAAATACTTTTTACCCCTTCAGTACTAGAATCAGAGATGGCTTGGGTCAGAAGAGACCTTAAAGTCCATCTCATTCCAAACCCCTGCCATGGGTAGGGACACCTCCCACCAGACCAGGATGCCCAAAGCCCCATCCAGCCTGGCCTCACCACCCTCATCCTGAACAATTTCTTTGAGTCCTGATAGGGTCATTTCCTGGAAAAAGGATTTTATTCTTTTTGACAGAAAAGCACATGAGTGCTGGATGGGGGAAGGAAGGGTTAGCCTTAACTGCTAACAACCATCAGCTGAGCCTGGCCTGCTGCTGGGCGCTCCCAGGCTGGTGGCCTGAGCTCATTTAAGCTTTTAAATCTTGAGTAGTGCCTTGGCCAGGGCTTAATCACTTGGGGATGTTTTTCTAAGGGAGTTTACATCATCTGTAGTACCAGTTACTGTAAGTAAGTTTTATGTGTTTGGAAAAGCTTCTATCAATGAAAGTAGAGAGAGTTTATTATAATTAGAGGAAGCCTGACTCTCTTGATGAAGCAGGCTTGCTACAATATCAACATATTGTAGCAAGTATGTGATAGTGTGAGTGCTGTGCATTTTTTTTTGAAACGTCTCTTACAAAATTGGGAGGTTTTCTTATGAGCCCTCAGTAGGGGGTATTGCTTCACCTATGCAGGAAGTTGTAAAGGCTTCAGGTGTTGCCCCAAGGGGCTATTTCATCACAAAACTGGAAGCGTACTTAAAAGGGAACTTATATTCTAAACATAAATATATTAAAAAGAGCTGCCTATGCAACCACTAGCTTCATTAAATCAATTTCTATGGTGTCTAACAGGAAATAAGTGATTGCAGTACATCCTTCCTGTCTATGTGTATGATGTTTTTGCTAGCAGCCTAAATTTGTCCAGGAGAATGAATTGTTGTTATAGAATGTGTCTTTATAGATCTTCAAGTAGGTGAAACTGATGTGATAGTTAATAGTATTGATCGAGATGTGGAAAATAAGGCAGAAATTCCTTTGTGCTGTGCACACTGCTTCCTATGTGGATAAGGAAATGAGCACTAGCCTTTTAATAATAGCTTTGCTCTTGCAATGAATATCAACTAAATTCAAGGCAAAGGTGGTGACGGAATTAAAGAGTTTATTTTTCTCTTGCTTTGCCTCTCTTGTCACGTTTATTACAGAAAGATTTCTTTCTCTAATTTGAATTTACTGTACAATCAGACAGAAACAATTTCATCCTTTATGAAGCTAGAGCATCCTATCGTGCCCTAATATCATAATCTTCTTTTTTGTCCTTTTTCTTCATATTATGTGGAGTAGAATTTGGGTATGCACTTCATGTCCTTGCTGATTTTCAGTTCATAAGTTTCTAACTTTAAACTTTCAAGATGTACTATTTTTAATTGGTGATATTATGTTTTTTTTTTTTTCAAATTTTAATCTGAAGCAAACTTAAATTTTGTTCTACAGTTCTAGAGGTGGTATTTATAAGAATAACTTCCAGAGTGATTCAGGTGTTTTCACTAATGTTTACTCCTTTATACAGTCATTCCCATAATCTTTTTTTTTTTTTTTTTTTTAATATTTGCTATGTGTTGTTTTCCTTCTCTGGCTCCTACCAATAAAAGAGAAAAATCTTGAATGTAAAGCATATTGATCTTCACCAATCCTTCTTTATTATAGTATTGGTTTGACTTGCAAAGTGGTGCACTTACAAAAAAAAAAAACAAAGAAAAACTTTCTGTAGACTATTTTGGATAAGTACTTGAACAATGATTATCTATTGCCAACTATTACAGCACAGAGACGATGAATAATAAGCAGACAGAGCAATACTTATGGCATGTATATTGCATGGCTTTAGGGGCATGTGGTTTGTGTGGGGATTCCTTAACGTATTGCTTGTTCTATATACATTCATTTTTAAGCCCTAAGTGACAAGTGAACCTTAGTTTTGATGTTAGTTCTTCACTGCAATGCTACTCGCTTTAGCCAGTGCTAAAGAAACAATGCTCTTAAGTGTTAATAACTAAGCTATAACTGTCAGAGAGAGATTTCTTCATCTAAAGAGCTTCAAATGTCCCCTTTTGTATGATGGCTGTGTGCTTAATCACCGATGCTTCAGGATGTTTGATTAATAACTGCTATGAGAAAGTATGGCAGCCATTAAATGCAATAAGCATGCTTCAGTGCAACAGAGCTTGTCAGAGAATGTTTGGGTTTTAGTTTTAGATCTTTTGTAATGTTTCGTAAACAGTCAGCAGCACTGGATTTGTCTTGCACGTGCTTTGCATTTTCTACAGTAGGATTTTTCAAAAGTACACGTACAGTAGGTGTGGTTGGGTATGTGGGTTCTGGCCCTGTGCTGTGAAAGCTGGGGGAGCTCTTGGTGTTGATTTTTATTGGGAAATGAGAGAGGTTTTTGCACAGGATCTGTAGTCTGTCTTTTTAACCACTAAATACAAAAGTATAATCAGTATGGTTTCTCGTCTCTGCCTTGCCTTGAGCTTAGTGGCTCTTCAAATGTATTTTTACTATCTATATAATGTTAAATTGATACATACCTCTTTCTACTTTTTTTTTTTCTTTTTCTCCTTTCTCTTCCTTCCCCATTCTTCCGGTCTGGAAATGTGTGAAATAAGCCATAGCCTGTCAAACTGTGTGCTGAAATCCTGGCTGACTTTCCATTTCTTTGGTCAGAAGTAAAGAAAGAGAAAATATAATTAGTAAGAAAGAAGCTTTTTGGTATATGAAAATGTTTAGAATGTAGTAAATAGAAACAGTTGATAGTTGTGCTGTGATGCTGGATAGTCCTCTCAGTAGGACTTTTAGCACATCTAAGAGTAATCCTGTATGTTGATTGTTGTTGTCTTACTGGGGTTACTTAGGAGAACCTAAACTTGGAAATAAGACATAAGCTGTAGTACAGAAAACATCAGAACAGCTAGGTTGAGAAAAAGGTCTTTAGACAGAATTTGTATCATGTTATTTTACAGCTATGTACCCGAAGGCAGAGATCACTGTCTGATTTGGGTGAAATGGTGGGATTTGTTTGGAGACTGCTTTATTTACATGTTCTGTCAATCCTGAAGGTGGAAATTTGGCAGGCATTGTAACTAATTTCCTTTCCTTTTTTTTTTTTTTTTTTTTTTCATTTAACGTAATATGATCAGAGAAGTTACTGGCTGTCTGCCAACATGCTCCTTTGCTTTTCCTTTGGAATCTCTGGTTTCTGCTCTCTTTCCTGATAAACACATGAGCTCCTAGACCCTGTGAGCCCATTGCTGTTGCCCATGTAGACAGCTTTGTCTGCCTGGAAATTGAAAGGGGGGGAGGGAATAGGAACTAAAAAAGTATTGGAAATGACACTCTTAAGGGTGTGTGTGTGTGTTTTGTTTGTTGTTTGTTTGTTTGTTTTGAATTCCCAAAACTCTGCATAAAGAATACTTAGACCTTGGGTTTCCAAATAGTGTCTTTTAAATTCAAGAGGTTGGAAGAGAAAAGCACTTTTTTTTTTTTTTAAATAGGTTCATGTCTAAATCACAGCTCTGGATGTTGTTTAGACAGCTTGCAGCTGAAGAATATGTTTAGAAAAAGACTCCTGCAGTTTTTTGTAAGCTTTTTTCTTCCACCGTACAAAGTGGTATTGCTGCATGGAACTGAACCAAGTGTATATCTCTAAAGAGCAGAAAAAGCAGTGAAATTATTGCGGCAGTTTTCCGTGTGTTTCCCTTCAACATTTCTATGGTTTGACTAAACTGAGATTGCTGAAATTATGAAAAAATAAATTAAAAAATTGGGTTTTTTTGCTCACATTACACCAGGTCCATGCTGTGAGTTAAACATTCTTCTTCTCTTTGCCGAATTGGAAGTACCACCCCTTAGTAATTCGTTGTCGAAATACTTGTACAAATGGTTTTAAGCCTCTGAATAGAGGTGAAATAACGATGCGGGTTTTTTCTCAAGCATTAGCTGGCTTTTAAAAATACTGATTGACAAGCTGTTGTCTAACTTTACAGAGGTTGTGTTACTGGTGATCTTAATCTTAGTTATTAATCCTTTTCTAGTGTTAAGTTGTCTTTAGCATTAAGATTTTTTCCTTAGTATTTGACCTAAATCTTCCATACCACAATTCTAGTTTACTTCTTGCTATGTCTTCTTGGACCATGGAGAATACCTTTTTCTTTTCTGATGGTGGTAAGGTTTAGTTAATTGAGAGTACTGCAAGTCCTAACCATCTCTCATAATTAATAGTTTGTTAATTAATAAACTAATGATTGATGTGTTATTCATCTCCCTCTTCTAGGCTTGTTTTTATTTTTTGAAGTTGGCCCCTTCTGTCCCTTTCACTCATGGGTCTGAAGTGATCTGGATGAGGTGTCCCAGCTGGGGTCTTGCTGGTGTTGAGCAGAGTGCTAGTTATTTTGTCTTTGCAGTTTATAACTGGGTTTGTTTGTCACCGTCTGGCTGTTAACCTTTTGTAATGCTATGATATTGCTGGCTCATGCCTTGGATCTACAGCAGGCCCTGTGGCCTTTAGTTAGTAATGCAGTCCAATTATTCCCATTATTTGTGTACGTAATGATACATGTTCGGTTGTGTTTTCCTGCTGTTGTCCCTGATGAAGAATGTGCTTGTATAACTTGGCTCTCTCCAGTTTAAGACCACTGCAAATTCTAAGCCTGGCCTCCTGTGCATTAACGCTCCAACCAGTTGAATATATCCCACTGTTATCAAAATATTCTCCTTTTCACCATCCAAATTGATACTAAAAATAACAATTATTGCTCTACTGAGGACAGCTTCTGTAAAGCTTCTCAATTATAACTCTTCTAATTTTTGTCTTATGTGGTTTGGAGGCATAATTTTGCAAACATATTTATAGTTGTTAATTGTGTTTGACTATGCTTCCCTAGTTCGTGAGTACAAATGTCCAGTGAAATTGTATTGAAAGGCTTCTTGAAGTCAAGATGTAAGACATCTACTTATTTCCATTTTGCTGTTTGGTAAGGAGATTAGGTTAATTTGTTGTAATTTATTCTTGACAAGTCATCTTCCCTCATCTTCCCTTATCAAACAAATACCTGCTCTTGATCACTGTTACAGCACTGATTTTGAGAGGAGAACATACTTTCTTGATGTACAGCAGCCCCTCTCCTGTCTGTCCCTACACATCTGATGTCTGCAGGGCACAGACACCTGGGTCTACTCTATGTTTCCGCTGCTAGTTGACTACTGGACATGGGAGCCGAGCGTAACTGTGCTGGCACTGGGGACTGCAGACTTCATAGGTACTACAGTGATCTGTGTGCATGCAGAAGTGAGGCAAAAGAAAGCCTTGAGACACTTGCATAAATCCCCTCCTGGGGAGTGCTGAGCATATTTTGACCACGGCCAAGGACCTGACCTGATGCATATTGAACACTCTGAAACCCATCCTA